AAATGAATCTTTTGTAGGCAGCATATAGATGAGCCATGTGTATTAATTCATTCAGCCACTCTTTGTCTTTTGATTAGAAGATCTAGTCCATTTATATGTAATTATTGATAGGTATCTACTTATTGCTACTTTGTTAACTTGTTTTCTGCCTTTTTTTGTAGTTTATTCTGTCCCTTTCTTCTTTTTCTCTCTTCACTTGTGGTTTGATAACCTTCCTTATTATTGCATTTAGATTCCTTTCTAATTTTCTTTTGTGTATTTACTACAAGTTTTTGCTTTGTGATTACCATGAGATTCACATATCTTATATATATAACAGTCCATTTTAATTTGATAGCAACTTAAATTTGAATACATTTCAACACTCTACATTTTTAACCTCCCCCCATGTTTTTTTTTAATGTTTATTTATTTTGAATAAGAGCAAACCTGACTAGGGAAGGAAAAGAGAAAGGGAGAGAGAGAATCTGAGCCTGACTCAGGCTTGATCTCACAACCATGAGATTATGACCTGAGCTGAAATCGAGAGTCAGATGCTTAACCAACTGAGCCACCCAGGTGCCCCTGTTTTATGTTTTTGATGTCATATTTTACATCTTTTTATGTCATGTGTCCCTTAACTGATTATTGCAGTTTTAGTTAATTTTACTACATTTGTCTTTTGACCTTTATGCTAGCTTTATAATTGATTAACCCATTACTTTTATAATATGTTTAACTTTTCCTATGAGACTTTTACTTTTGCATGTTTTCTTGTCATTAATCAGTTCCATTGCTTTTCAACTGAAAGAAGTCTGTTTAATATTTCTTGTAAGGCCTGTTTAGTGGTGATGAACTGCCTTAGCTTTTGCTTATCTGAAAAACTCTCTCTTTACCTATTTCTGAATGATAATCTCACTGTAGTTGGGTATTCTTTCCTTTCAGTACTTTGAAAATTTCATGCCACTACTTTCTGGCTTGCAGTGTTGCTGCTGAAAAATCTGCTGACAGCCTTATGGGATTTCCCTTGCACATAAGTTTTTTTTTTTCCTTGTGCTGCATTTAGGGAGTATCTCTTTTGTCTTTACCTTTTGACATTTTAATTATAGTGTGTCTTGGTATAGATTGCTTTGGATTCATCTTTTTTGGAACTCTCTGTGCTTCCTGGACTTGGATGTCTGTTTCCTTCCCAGATTAGGGAATTTTTCAGCCATTATTTATTTAGATAAGTTTTCTGCCTCTTTTTCTCTCTCTTCTCTTTCTGAGACCTCTATAATGTGTTTATTATTCCATTTGATGTTGTCCCATAAGCCCCTTAAGGCATTGTCACTTGTTAAAATTATTTTTTCTTTCTGCTGTTCTGTCTGGGTGAGTTTCATTGCTTTGTTTTCTAGCTTGTTGATCTGTGTTTTTCTGCTTCTTCCAGTCTGCTGTTGAAACCCTCTAATGTACTTTTTAGTGCAGTTATTGTATCCTTCAGTTCTGTGATTTATGTTTGGTACTTTCTTATATTTTCTCTTTGTTGAAGTGCTTGCTGTGCACATCCCTTATACTTCCAAGTTTGGTAAGCACCTTTATGAACATTATTTTGAGTTCTTTATTAAGTAGATTACTTATCCCTATTTCATTAAGGTCTTTTTCTGATGTTTTCTCTTGTTCTTTCACTTGGAACATATTCCTCTGTCCCCTCATTTTGTCTGATTCTTTGTGTTTGTTTTCTGTGTATTAGATGAAACAGCTACCTCCCTGAGTCTTGTAGGAGTGGTCTTAAGTAGTGATTTTATCCATGGGGGCCAGAAGCACAGTCCCCTCTGGCCACCAGAGCCAGGTGCTCCATGGATATCCCCTCTGTGTGCATGTGCTGGGCTGTAGTGTGGGGAGTGGGTGGGTAGAGTTCTTTCCCAGGCTGTCGGTGACATATTTTTGGCAGGGGTCGGGTCATGGTGCTCTCCTCAGTGGCTGTATTGGGGGCATGGGGGAAGATGTAGCACTTGCCTGGCTGGCTATGGCTCAGCTGTGGCACGGGGTGTGGGGTGGTGTTTGCCTGCCTGGCTGTGCTGTTCCTGTGGTATGGGATGGGAGCCCCACATGTGCTGGCAGTGTGGAGGGAGTTGCCAAAATGGCACTCACCAGCACTGGCATTAGTAAGGTAGAGTAAGATTGCAAAAATGGCACCTACAGTGCTTCTGTCCTTAGAGAAAGCTCTAACAGGTCCCTTCTTTTTGGCAGTTACTTTAAGATTAGTGTGTCTCCTTTACATATGGTTTAGGTGCTTTTCAAACTTCTTTTAATACCATAAGATCTAGTAATTCCACTACTGGTTATTTACTCAAAGAAAATGAAAACACTAATTAAAAAAGATACATGTGCTCCTATGTTTAAGATATGGGAGCAACCTAAGTAGGCCATTGATAGATGAATAAAGAAGATGTGGTGTGTGTGTATACATACATGTATATATATATATATATATATATATATATATATATATATATATATATATATATATATACATATATATATATATATATATATACATGCAGTGGAATATTATTCTGCCATAAAAAGAATGAGATCTTGCCATTTTCAACAACATGGATGGACCTAGTGGGTAGTATGCTAAGTGAAGTAAGTCAGACAGAGAAAGGCAAATAACCATATAATTTCACTTTATGTGGAATCTAAAAAAAACAAAACAAACACATACACATACACATGCAAATGAACAAATAAACAAAAAAAGCAGAAATAGATCCATAAACACAGAGAACAAGCTGATGATTATCAGAGGAGAGGGTGGTGGGGTTATGGGTGGTTATCAGAGAGAAGGGGAGTAGGAGGTACAGGTTTCCAGTTATGGAGTGAATGAGTCATGGGGATGAAAGGTACAGCATAGGGATTATAGTCAATGATATTATAATAGCATTCTGTGGTGATAGATGGTAGCTATACTTGTGGTGAACATAGCATAATGTATAGAGTTGTAGAATCACTATGTTGTACACCTAAAACGGATATAACATTGTGTATCAACTCTACTTCAGTTAAAAAGAGATGAAAAACTCTCTTTGAAACAAACAAACAAACAAACAAACAAGCAAACAGATATTGCTGCTTTTGCTCTGGGTTCTGGGGCAAGTAAGTCTGTGAGTGAGTCCTTTAAGGGCAGGTTCTCCATTCCCTATAGTTCTGGACATGGTCCCTGTTGGTTTTATGTTTGGAGGGCTGGTCTCAGGGGTGCAGGACTGAAGGGTTGAGGTGTCTGATATGGAGCACAAACTCCTTGCTCCTCAGGGAAAAGTTCCATGTTGGTGAGATTTCATTCTGATTGTGGATTGCAAGTCTTTGGGTGGGTTTTGGTGAAAGCATATCTCTGCCTCTCCTATCCAACTCAGTGTGGCCCTTTTATCTTTTATTGTGGAGATGCTGTCCACCTAGTTTTCAGGACTTTTTCAGAGGAAAATTTTCCATATGTAGCTATATATTTGTTGTGTATATAGGTGAAGGTATGTTCAGTATCTTCTGATGCTGACATCTTGAACCCAACACCAGGAGGTTTCTTAAGGGATCTATCTCACGAGAAATATAACAATTCAACAATGAAAGAAGTATTTTAGAAATTCAGCCTGTAATACTGTAGCCAGAATATGGTCAGCCTGTATCTTCTACTGGGGAGCTCTTAAAAGTACCATGTCTAGGTCCTATCCTCAACCAATTAAGTTGGTATCTCTAGGGTGTGAGGCCTGGACATTGGTGCATTTTTTTGTTTTTTGTTTTTTAATTGAGAGAGAGAGAGTGAGAGAGGGAGGGAGACAGAGAGAGGAGGAGGAGGAGGAGGAGGAGGAGGAGGAGGAGGAGGAGGAGAAGAAGAAGAAGAAGAAGAAGAAGAAGAAGAAGAAGAAGAAGAAGAAGAAGAAGAAAGAGAGAGAGAGAGAGAGAGAGAGAGAGAGAGAGAGAGAGAGAGAACCCAAGCAGGCTCTGCACTGTTAGCCCAGAGCCCCATGTGGGATTAATCTCAGGAACTCTGAGATCATAACCTGAGTTGAAATCAAGTCAGACATTTAACAAACTGAGTCACCCAGGTGCCCTGGTGTTTTTAAAACGGTTTCATGTGATTTTAATGTTATTTAGGGTAGAGAATGATTGTTCTTTTCTATTTTCCTTTTTCAGTTTTTGCCCAGCAAATATTTCATGAATTTCTTCTATACATATAGCACTTCTTATTTTTTGTTTTTTAGAAGTAAGCATAGATTGAATTACATAAACTCCCACGAAATGCTATGGTCATTTTACCCATTAGCATCACATCTAAACTTTTCTGCATAGACTTATCTTTATATGATTAAATAATTAGCATGTTCAAGGATTGTGTTTCTGTCTACTTTTCTATCTCAGAAGTTATTAATACTATATTACTACACTAGTAAAAAGTCATTAGAAAGAGAAAATTGTATTTTTTAAGTGAGGTGCCATTTCGTAGATGTTGATATTCTTTCAAGGTAGCAAGACCACATTTTGATGTGGTGACATTTCATATCAAAACAAAAAACCTTAAGTAGTTAAATAAATTTCAGAATGAATAATATTTCTAATTGTTCTTTCCTGCTGTAGGCAATGTGCTTAGGTTTTTGACATCAAATTACAGAGAATAGTAATTTTGTATATAGAGTATTTAAGCTAATAAGACAGAGTAAGGGACCATCTAAAGTAAGAGAAATATTTTTTCTCACAAATTCACTTTGGAATCTTTTAAATATGGTATCTCATCTCTCCCCAATTTATGATGAGTTTCAAGAGGTACGTGGTTTTTCCCTAGAGTTTTCAAATAGTGTGTGGTTGAATAGGGGTTTGATTAGAGATCTGTTTGATTGGAGAACCCATGTCCCCACCCCCTCCCCACCAATATTACATTGTCTATGTGTCCCTAGAAAATCTGGGAATGTTACACATAGGTGATATTTGAAATCATTTTTGTGTGTTTCTTTTATCTATGATATGATTTAGCCTTTTTTTCCCCCCAGGATAATACCCTTCAAGCTGAATGGCCCTCAGCAGATGAATCCACCACCAGCAGTATTTCACCACTTGATTTCAGCTCTGGTCCTCCCTCAACCAATGGCAGGGAACTCTGGTCAGAAAGCCCTTTGGGTGATTTAGTGTCTACACCCGAATTAGCCTTTCCCGCGAAGGTGGGCCTCAGTTCTTCCCCAGAGGTTTTAGACGTTAGCAGCTTGACTCTTCATTCTGTCACCCCAGCAGTGCTTCAGACTGGCTTGCCTGTGGTTTCTAAGGAAGGAACTTCTGGATCTCACATATTAGAAGATGGTAAGTTATTCTAATCACTTTTCATACTTTTTGACTTTATTATATCAGATGACAAAGGTTTTGAAGAAAGAATGCCACTAAGGCTAATAGTGAAGCATGGTAACATCTATTAGGAGGAAATATCTTGGAAAAGCTGTGTGAGAGAGGAAACAATCAGATTTAATTGGTTGGAATGGAGATTCCAAATAGGTAAATAACAAGAAATGAACTTGGTGGGGTGGGGGTGGGGGATCAGTTAATAGATGTTTTGAACATCCTATTAAAGAATACATAATTGAATTAAATTACTATTAAAGAACTACTTTATTAACTTGGATGTTAAGTGTTATAGTGATAAACAACATCAAATAAAATTATTCTAGTATCTTTTAGTAGTATTAATTGTGGGGGCCCAATATAGAGAATTTAGCTTGCATTAGGGAGAATGCAAGCTAAGGGAGAACGTAAACCAGGGTAGCTATACAGAGATTAGGAAATGAAAATCAAGTAGATGAATTAGTTGTGGCAGAAAGCAAAAATCAATATGACTTATGGATGGACTATATTTGTGAAAGAGGAAGTTAAAGATATAAATAATGAGTCCAGGATTTTAAACATTGGGTAAATCTGGAGGATCATGGGCAATAAACATAATAAGGAAATCAGAATTCAAAGACAAAATTTCCTGGATTTTCTGTCTAGTTTCCACTAGATTCAGTCTTTGTTGTCAATATGGTTCTTTATTTTCATGGAGTAAAAAACTAAAATCTTTAAAGATGAATTATTTCAATAGCTGAGATCTTGTTATCCTCAGGGAAGGGGGTATATTCATGAGTGATTGTACCACATCACAAAATCATGAGATCCTCTTACTTGCTTATATATCAAAGTAAAAATCAGCGCTGTACATCTTAATGAGAAAACAAATAGCTTGCTTTATTAGGAGAACTAGGAATACATTTTGGCAATTCTGTAGATTAATTAATGGAAAACTTTATTTTTAGGATTAATCAAAGTTGAAGGGCCAGAAGATATTCTTTCTGTTCATTCATTGCCTTCAAGTCCATTCACTCATCCAGTGCCAAAGGAAACGATATCATCTGTGGAAGACTCTGAAGTGTCTTTGACATCCTTACCATATCTGGCCTCCTCTGTCACTTTGGATCTTGCTAAAGAAACAATGATACCTTTTGGCTTGGACTCTTTGGCCTCCAAAGTCAAAGGCCAATTAGAAGTGAGCACTTTGATGCCAGACACATCCATAGAAAAAGAGTTTATATTTGAGAGTGGTTTAGGTTCAGGATCTGGGCAAAAGGTGGATCTGATTACTTGGCCATGGAGTGAGACTTCATTAGAGAAGAGTTCTGAACCACTGTCTAAGTCATGGCTTGAAGATCAGGAATCACTTATGCCAACTGAAGGTATAGATGAGAAATTAGGTATAGATGACAAAGATTCCACAGGGCAAAGTACTGAGCATTTAAAATATGGATATTATGATAGATCCACACACTTTGCAGAGGAAGAGCTCATTGGTGGACCTACTGTGCCCATCTTTGCAGAGACCACAACTGAATCTGCATCTCTAATTCTCTCCAAGCAAATATCAGAGGCACCTGACATTGATGATTACTCAGTTACCAAAGCACCTCTTCTATTGACAGCAATCTCTGCTTCTACTGGTAAACCAGAGCTACCATTTCTAAAGAAGGATATGGAACAAACTATAGAGTCATCCGAGCGTGAATGGTTTGACAGCAAGGTTTCAATAATGAAGCCAGATATGCAACCTTTGGGGACCATATTGCCAGAATCAGATGTAGTTTGGGCAAGAACTTCTTCCCTGGGGAAATTGTCCAGAGACATATTGGCAACTACACTGCAGAGTACTGACAAGCTCTGGCTGAAATCTTCTATGACACAGTCTACCAAATTGTCTCCAACCACAAGCTCCACCCTGCTAGAGGATGAAGTAATTATGGGTGTACAGGATATTTCATTAGAACTGGACCGGATAGGCACAGATTACTATCAGCCTGAGGTAATCCCTGAGGAAAATGGCAAGGTTGGTAGTTATGTGGAAATGTCTACAAATGTTCAGTCCACAGAGAGGGCTATTGTGGTGCAACCCACAGAAGGAGGTGACTTGAGTCATACCCAGACTGCAGGAGCTTTGGTGGTTTTCTTCAGCCTCCGAGTGACAAACATGATGTTTTCGGAAGACCTATTTAATAAAAACTCTTTGGAGTATAGAGCACTGGAGCAAAGATTTTTGGAACTGGTAAGCACAAGAAATGCAACATGGGTATTAGTGAATAATCGTGTATGTACTAACCCTCTTTCTCCCAAACATAAAATCTGAGCCAGTGAAAGTCTGGTCTGTTGTGCACATTGATTTGTAAATAGCATCATAGTCTACGGTTGGTAGAAAAACAATACAACAGATAGATACAAGAAATGGGAAACACAAATATAGCCTGAAGATTATATAATAACTTAGATACTGAAGATTGTATTCCATGAATCATGGAACTGAAACAAGTTTATAATTTCTTTTCACGTTTTATTATGAGACCAGTTTTCTGTAGGTACTAATAATACCTTGACTGTTGTGAACCTTGGTTTTTGTTAAATGTGTTATTTTTATTTTTTGGGGGGGGGTAGTAAGAGAGCACAAGCAGGGCAGAGGCAGAAAGAAAGAAGGGAACAGAGGATCTGAAGCAGTCTCTGTGCAGACAGCAGAGAGCCTGATATGGGGCTTGAACTTGAGAACTGCAAGATCATGACCTGAGCCAAAGCCACTCAGTCACGCCTTGACTGTTGTGATTCTTTAGTGAAACGGAGAGAATAAACTCTCTGTTATCCAAAACTGTCTGTGAGTTTCATGGATTCTTAAATATTGCTGTGAAAATCTCTTGACTCTCAAGTGATTGGCAATTTATACTTTTATTGATGAACAGTTTAAATAATTGAAATACTGAATATAGAATTGAAATAGAATATAATGTCAAAAAGTGGGGGAGGGGCTCATTCTTGTTTTTTGGGTGGGCATTGGTATGTTTTGAACAAAATAGCAAAACCTTGTAAACAAACTGACTACTTTTCATGTATTGTAGCTGGTTCCCTACCTCCAGTCAAATCTCACAGGGTTCCAGAATTTAGAAATCCTGAACTTTAGAAATGGCAGTATTGTGGTGAACAGCCGAATGAAGTTTGCCAAGTCTGTCCCTCCTAATGTCAACAATGCTGTATACATGATTCTGGAAGACTTCTGTACCACGGCCTACCAGACCATGAACTTGGCTATTGATAAATACTCCCTCGATGTGGAATCAGGTAATGGTATTGAATGCTGATGGTGGTTTCTTAATGGAATCCGGTTATTATTCGTGTGCATTTTCTTCTATAGTGAATCAAGGTAAATTCAATACTTGTAGGAAAAAGAGTATTATATCAGGCAGAATCTCCACATCTTGGTAATTATTAAATGATCTCTTCAAAGGACATCAATATCATTCTCTTTTAAAAAGGGTCGTTCACATGTATTACCTTGCTTACCTCCCATTCCCTTTGCTTTTCTTTTTTTCCCCATTGCCTTTTCTACCTGCTCTGTCTAGCTCTCTTTTACTTATCCCCTGGATCTGCTCTACTCATCTCTGAGTTGCCAAACCCAAAAGATTTGCACTCTCTTTCCTTCTATATTACTTTCCTAAGCTGTTTTATCCATTTCCATTATTGTAAATCTTATATAAATGTCAGTAACTCTCCACATTTATTAATGCTTATTTATTTTTGAGAGAGAGAGAGAGAGAGAGAGAGAGAGCGAGTGCACAAGCAGGGGAGTGGCAGAAAGAGAGGGAGACACAGAATTCAAAGCAGGCATCTTTTAAGTAAATTGAATCCTTCTGTCAGCTTCACTGTCTTGAGAAATGAAAGCCATATTCACTCACCTACTTGAGCCAGAAACCCGGGAAGTCATTCTGATAACTCAGTTTCCATCACCCCCAAACTTATATTAATTCTGAAAATTCTAAATATGTCTTAAATCTGTGTACTTCATTATCACCTCTCGTTTGAACCAGTTTCCCCACTACCTGTCTTATTCCCCTCCCCTATACAGACCGCAGCCAGGGTGCTCTTTCTAAAACATCAATCAGATTATTTCACTTCCCTACTTGAAATCTTCAGTGGCTGCCTGGTTCAATAGTCATGAGCTCTGGTCCCTATTTTTTCTCCCGTATCATCCAGTGAAACTAACTTCTTTGCTCACCATATTGTACTCAAATTAGCTTGTTTTACTTCTTCAGATTCAAGAAACTTGCAAGAAACTTTGCATATACTTACTGTCCCTGTTGCCTAAAACTCTTTCCCCTCTCTGCTGATTTCTGTTCACCTTTTATGCCTCAGTTCAAATGTTTTTTCCTCAAGATTTTCACTGACTCATCCATAATCTGGATTGGGTCTTTCCTTTTAGTCTTTCCTGTAATATAATATTCTTTCCTGCTATAGAGTGTATAACTTTTGTAATAATGGTTATTTATGCACATAGTTGCTTTGTGGCTATTTTTCCAGTTGAGCTATCCACAAGGACAGAGACTTGTCTGATTTATTAATCACTTTCTGGCCCAAACCTAGCACAGTATCTTGCATGTAAGAGGTACTCAAAAATACTGTGACTGGCTGAAATAAACCATTGTTTTTATTTGGAACACTTGGATGCAGAGGATACTGTTGGATCCTCAAACTTTGTTCTCTTTTTCCTTCCATAGAGAGAACAGTGATTTTGAGTAGGAGTAAGGTGAAATGCCTAGGTTTGTATTTCTCTAGTGCCTTTTACTCTCAAACTGGTTTGGGAGTCAACACTATTCTTTAACTGGGAGAAAAGCAAACATTCTTCCCTTTGAAATTTTTGAAGGAACATCATTCATTCAAAATGAGGAAAGTGTGGGGCAGTGGAAGAAGAAATTAATTATAATTTGGAAGGCCTGGTTTCTTGCCTCTGCTCTGTTGTTTGTCATTTGTGTAACTCCAGATGAGCTATTTTATCTCTGAGGCTTAGTACTTACATGTTAAATGGGGATAGTATTATTACCTGGTCTATATATTTCATGGGGGCTAGTCTAAGGATTAAACAAAAACCATGCAAAAACATTTGACTACCCACAAAAATACAAACAGTTATGATTTATACAACTTTTGCAAGAGTCCATCTACTTCTTTTTAAAGAGATTATAATAGGAGTGCCTGGGTGGCTCAGTCAGTTAAGTGTCCGACTTTGGCTCAGGTCATGAACTCACAGTTCATGGGTTTGAACCCTGTATCAGATTCTGTGCTGACAGCTCAGAGCTTGGAGTCTGCTTTGGATTCTGTGTCTCCGTCTCTCTCTGCCCCTCCCCTGCTCTGTCTCTGTCTCTCTCAGAAATGAATAAACATTGAAAAAATAAAAAATAGACAGAATTACAATAAAGAAGTGTGTTCACTTCAGTTTTGTGTGTAACTCACATGTCAGCTGCATGGCAAGTCATCTAGGTTTATAGGGTCACCTTTTCCTTTAATATTCAAATGAGCTGGAATCAGCCTCTCCCTTGTGCAGTGTAAAACCTGCATTCACGGCCTTCTCACTCTCACTATCTCTAGGAATTATCCGGGAATTTAAATATTTCTTAATTATCTCCAGCTCTGAGTTAGTTGAGCTGAGTTTCCAGTCTCACATTTACTTTGACCCATGTGGTTGTTCTTTATGTTAACCCAACACAGATCACAGTCCCAGTTTTCACTTCCCAGAACACCTCTAACCCAAGGTAGTTGATTCTGTCAGATATTTGCCGATGGTATGAGGGTGATGGAAGAGGCTTTATTGTAGTGTTGCAGGTGGCTTAAGCATATTACTATTAGGCTTAACCATCCTAAATTCCTCAGCAAATCTTTCAAAGGCATCTCTTACTGGCCAACTTTTTCTCCAGGACCCAGTCAGCTACCATGTTATTCTGGCTGCTCTTGCTATCTTTCCAGACCCTCTTCATATTTCCTTCACTCTTATTTTCCGGAACCCATAAATCCTTCTCTTAGCATTCTATTGGGAAAAAAACAGAATGTATTCATTCTACAATTTAGATCCTGTCTCCTATCTTAAGCTGAGCTCTAAGTCTACCTTTGATTCTTCCAAACAGAGGGTCATGCATTCTGGGCATCCTCACCTTCAACCCGCACAAAGACCTAGAAAGAGACCTCCAAACTACAGCTTTTTATTTACATGATTATATATTAGTCTTGGTTTTTCTCAGTCTGGAAGCAAAAGGGAGCAAGATTTTTTTTTCCTCTTATACTCTATTTTCCTTCCCTCCCTCCTGCAAAAACATTCACCTATACCTACATAGAATGGCCACGAAGTTTCCAAATTTCTAAGTAGGTATTTTCTTATAGCATGCATATTTTTAGTTAAAAGACTTCCAATTAAAACACTATTTTATCCCAAGATGGACTAGAGACAAGGCTGACTTGTCTCTTGCCTTACTTGTTTTCACGTCATGTTTCAGAAATTCTTGAACTTTTATCAACAAAAGGGAGCCACACAATACCATCCTTCCCACCCCCTATATACACTCCTTTTCTTCAAGTCTAAGATTAGATTATTTTCTGATTACAGAGTGACAAAATGAATACTAGGGTAAAGATGTGTAGACTTAGGAAATACACAGATGAATCCTGCATATAGAAACTGCCCATCTGTCATCACATTTGGATGCTCTCCTTGTTATAAGAGCATCTTATTAGTGTCTCCTATATTAATGTCCTAGGGCTGCTATAACAAAGAACCACAAACTGATGGGTTTGTAACAACATAGCACTTTATTCTCTCATAGTTCTAGAAGCTAGAAATCCAAAATCAAGGTGTTTGGTAGGGCTACATTTCCTCTGAAAGCTCTAAGAAAAATTCCTTCCTTGCCTCCTTCTAAGCTTCTGGTGTTTGTCGACAATCCTTGATGAATTTGACTTATGGATGCATCACTCCAGTCTCTGTCTCCATCTTTATATGGCCTTCTTTTCTGTGTGTTTGTGTCTCTGTGTTCAAATTTCCCTTTTCTTTTAAGGACATCAGTTATTGGGTTAGGGTCCACCCTAATCAAATATGACTTCATCTTAACTTGATCACATCTGCAAAGAACCTGTTTCCAAATAAGGTCATATTCTGAGGTTTTGAGTGGACATGAATTTTGGGGGCTATACTATTCAACTGCGTTCATCTCCGCATTCCTTCATAGGATAAAGGAAAATAAGCTGCAGAGATCCAAAGTCCAAGACCACAGATTTGTGCATGGTATCTTTAATCTCCAGAGCAGCAAGGAAATCATTGATTCTCAAAACCATATTAGTTTCTCTGGAAACAGAGACTATGCTCTTTATTTTTTTTAGCTCCCCTTAGCCTTTTGGCTTAACTTCAGGATTTTTCATCTAGATGAGTCTATGGATCATTTCCACCTATTTCATCTGTCTTTGGTATCTGTGTCACCATTTGCCACTCACAGATTGCTGTTTATCAGTGAAGACATATAGCGGGATGTTCTTCGGTAGGATAGAAGACCCATCATGGTCATTGCCTTGTATCACTTTTGACTTGTTATTGTCATAATTATTTAAAATTTTTATTTTTTCTCATCTAATAAAGAAAAATAATTACTGAAGTCAAAATATTATTGGGAATAGCCTCAGGTGGTATAGGGCTGATTTATTTTTCTCACATTGGCTTCAGAAAATTTCAGATGTTCTTAGCTACTCTTATTGGGTTATATCCACCCCTGAGGCTCCTATCAGTTCTTCTCTGGGCTCTGTTTCCTCATCCCATGTTCTCAGTGTGGAGAACTGGCATTTAGCATTGTATACAGAACACAGGTAGTACTGTAACTACTATAGTAGGTTAGGGTTGGTGCAAATGAATGATATATGAAAACTATGTTGAATTTAGATTGACAATTACATGGCATGTGTTTTAAGGCTTCCACATGCTTCTTTGATAAAACATGTAAAAAAAAAACAGGTCATTGGGTTTTATCGTTTAGTTCTGGGTTTCAGAAAATTTGATAAAAGTTCATCAATCCAAGGATGGGTGAGAATTTTTTGTGGTATTGGTGGTGATGGTATACTTTAATGGTTCAGGAATGGGGTTGCCCTCTGGTACTTTGCAGTGGGAGAGTGTTACTGGAGGGGCTTCATGTATCCCAGCCCCTGTATTTTGCCTTTTCTTGTATAATTCTCTGGTTTGTTTGATATTTTAGGTGATCAAGCCAACCCTTGCAAGTTTCAGGCATGCAATGAATTTTCTGAGTGTTTCGTCAACCCCTGGAGTGGAGAAGCAGAGTGCAGATGCCACCCTGGGTACCTGAGTGTGGAAGAACTGCCCTGTCAGAGTCTCTGTGACCTACAGCCTGACTTCTGCTTGAATGATGGAAAGTGTGACATTATGCCTGGACATGGGGCCATTTGTAGGTATGTTGCGTAGAGATTTTGGCTTCCCAAGGTTATAGATAACTTCCTCTGTAGTCATTGTGTACACCTATGACTTTAGGATAATCATAGCAATATTTATTATAAAAGTTATATCTAGGCAATAGATGGATGCCATCTAGTTCTCATGTGAAGACTGGGTCAGTTAATAGGCCTGAATTATACCCAGTTCAATTGGTTATTTTACTTTATACTTTTAGGAAGCTATAAGAAAAACATTATTTAAATATGTCTTACTTGGAGAGTCCTTGCAGTAGTTGGTGTTTGCTGTGTTGTTAGGCATAAGATTAATACTTTATACTGTGAAGTTTTTGTGGTCCTCTTGGATGTGTTGTTAAAGGCTTTGAGCTGCTCTTGGTCCTACTGAGTATTCAAAAATAAAGTTCCTAAGATCCATTTTTTTAAAAGGCAGAGCCTGAGAAAGTCCACAGACAGATGAGCAGATTCAGGTAGCCTCACCATTCTCCTGTACTCATTTCCCTTAAACAAAACAGAACTAGTCAACCTCTGAACTACACAACAACTAGGCACATGGATGTAAATGGAGAAAACGCTTAGAATAAATGGGAGAAACATGAATAAGAAGATGGTTTGTGAACGTCAAAATGGGCGAATGTTGGTATAGATGCCAGACACGGAGGACATAGGTGGGGATGATCAGACTCTTTTGAATGAAAAAGTATAAAGTTGAACTAGAAAACTCCAAGGAAAAATAGTTTGCTGATTTCCAGAGAAATTAATGTTATTTTGAAAAGCAGTCATTTTCTTGCTACTCTGGGAATTGACACTTTTGCCCAAGCCTGGGGCCTCAGGGTTGGGGGAATCTCTGCAGTGTGGTGAAAGGAGATGAGGAGTTCGGAGACTGGAGTCTAGACCCAGATTTGTTGCTGACTAATTGTGTGATCTCACAGTCACTTTCCTTCGTGGGCCTGTGTTTTGTTAAGTATAAATAAGAAAGTTAAATAGAGTACTTTCTTTCGGTCTAGTCAGTCTTTTATTCAGTCATTTACAAATTGTCATGGAAGACCTGCCAGGTCTGCACCAGCCATTAATCACAACTTTAAATTGTATGATCACTTAACCTGTTATGTTCACTCCTTTACTGAAGCTTCACGTGGTCAGTATTTATTTCACTACCTTTCCCCGGTCCTGCCAAAGGTTCTGCCATTGTTGTTTTCAGCACAGTGGTTCTGTTTTTGGACTTTGTCTCTTCTCATCACAGATGCCGGGTGGGTGAGAACTGGTGGTACCGAGGTGAACACTGTGAGGAGTTTGTGTCTGAGCCCCTGGTAATAGGCATCACCATTGCCTCTGTGGTTGGACTTGTCCTCGTTTCGTCTGCTGTTGTCTTCTTCCTCGTCAGGACTCTTCAGACTCGTCATGTTAGGAGAGAGAGAGAGAGGCTCAGCAGGTATATAAAGAAAATTGCTCTCTAATGGAATAAAATACTCCTTTTATTCATTTATTTTGTACTTACTAAATGCTCTATTGGATATATGGATCTGGTTGGAGGAGAGGAAGCTATAAAGTTGAATAAAAACATGGTCCCTATCCTCAAAGGATGTCAGATTGGAAACAAATGTAAACAAGAGTATGAATAAGATGCTAAGGGGCCTAGATGAGGGATTAATTCATTTGGCCTGGGAGAGTGTCTTAGAAGTTTTAATGATGGTTATGATATTTAGCTGGACAGGAGGGTAGATGTTTCCTGGGGGGGGAGGTGGGGGGTGGTGGTGGTTAATTGAATGAGCATGAGCAAAGTCAGGAAGCCATTCATGAATCTCAAGACACACTGAAGGAATGTCATTGTTGAATGTGGCCAGAAGGCCTGTTTTGCCATTGGGGAGGAATTAGAAGGGTGATGGAACTGAGGTGAGACCCCTGTGTGAAGACCAGATCTGTTAGTTTGTTCCCTTTTGGCTCTTATCAGTGGTAATTAGCTAGATTGTAAATCTGGGTAAGAATCTGACAAGAACTAAAATCTGTTTCTCTGTTTAGTAGCTTCATTAATGGGGGAAATGAAACCTGCTCTTCCTAGTAGGATAGAGATTCAAAGACCTTTTAGTTGTTATGTGATCGTGATCCTTGGTTGTACTTTGCTTCTGTGCTACTCGAGTCTGTAAGATCTGCTGCTTCAGGTTCAGGTTACCTGTCCTCATTCTCTGGCATGGCTAGGGAGACACCTCTCCTAGGTTCCTATAGCACCCAGGACATACTTCCATCATTGTTACATTTTTTTTTTTATTAATTCTGATTTTGCTTTAGAGTGTATTCAGGACAGGGTTCCAACAAACTCTTTGTGTCATCAGCATCTAGAACAATCCTAGGCACATAATTGATGCTCAGTAAATATTTGTAGATCTGAATGGAATTTCATTGAGGCCTCCCTGTATTTACTTTTCTATCAAATTCTCTGTTTACTGATGCAACTCAGGTTGCATACTGATTTTGACTTGCATACTCTGGGAATGATGGAACTGTATTCATTTAATGAAATACTGTACGGTGAAGGACATATTTCCCCATCAACATTTATTGACAAGCATTTTGGGGCAAATAAAGACAAATAAGACATGAAACAGTCATTCCATAGGGCACTTGCCATGTAGTTCGGGAAATGATAATGATACCACCTGATAAATAATATTTGAGATTGATCTGAATATTTTTCATAGTTACCTCCCCACATCTGTATCCAGCTCACCTCTTTTTCTTGCCCAATAGAAATCGTGCTTCAGGTAAATAGTCTTTGAAGTAGTTGAGCATCTGAAAAACCTCAATCAACCATACTTTTGTTTTTTGCTCCAGCAGGCAGCCTGACAGCCTCTCATCAATTGAAAATGCTGTGAAGTACCCTGCATATGAAAGCCATGTGGCTGGACCTGAGCAGTATGAGGGGCCCTATCCTCACAACCCCTTCTACAGCTCTGCAAGTGGAGAGATGATTGGTGGTCTGAGCAGGGAAGAAATCAGGCAAATGTATGAGAACAGTGAGCTTTCCAAAGAGGTAGGTAACTTTGCTTTTCTGTTGCTGCTGCTGCTGCTGCTGCTGCTGCTGCTGCTGCTGCTGTGCGTGTGTGTGTGTGTGTGTGTGTGTGTGTGTGTGTGTGTGTGTATGCATACACATGAAAGTACATGGACCTTAAGAAAGAGTGAAAAATATTTCCTGGTCAGTTTTTTACCTCATGATATCTTCCAGTCGATGTGGTATGCAGGGGATATGCAATTCTGAGCTATACCTAATTTCCCCCTCCAGTGCTTTCTTTTTCCATTATTAGCAAATGCTCTCTCTTTCCTCCCTCCTTTCCTTAGGAATATATGTCTGAGTTATCCAGAGTGGTTCATGCAGTAACCAAACCCTCATTTCTCTGAAAAGGCCATTCTGTCCTATAGCTCTCCCCTGGGTAGCCCAGAAAGCCACACTTCCTTATAAAAAATGAGAACTCCTTCAAAAAAAGCTGCTGGGGTTTTTCTAATGGTGTTTTTTTCTTTTCTAAGGAAATTCAAGAAAGAATGAGAATTTTGGAACTGTATGCCAATGATCCTGAGTTTGTAGCTTTCGTGAGAGAACATCAAATGTAAGCATTTGTTACAGTCTCTTATGCAGGTTCTTAAGCTGTGCCTTAGAATAGTGCCACCAGTGTGGGTACATAACATAATTCCTGTCCTCATGACATGGGTTCTGGTGATAACCAATGCTTATTAACTGATAAGTGAGGAGGGGAAGCCGCCGATACATGAAGGGACTTAAGATCACAATGATAACAAATGGTAGAGAAGATTTAAAACTATCTGTTCTGACCTAGAGATTCCTGGGCTATGTTGTATTTTCTCTCTTGTTACCACAGAGAACACCTGTGATTTAATGCTCTAAAATATTTTTCATGGACAGTTTCTATGAAAAGCACTTGAGCAGCCAAAAATCCTCACACATTTCAATGTTTCCTTCCATTGCTGTCTTGGTAGACAGTTTTCAGTATGCTTTGAATTACACAAATCTCTTGCTTTTATCAAGTTAATCTTACATTTCCCTCTTTGACTTTCCATTTGTTTTTCTCAGCATGCATTTTGGGCAAATTCTGTAACTATTTTTCTCTGTTCCTCAGGATCCATAACCATACTTGGGTTACCAAAATAAACTATCGTGGGTCACCTAGGTGGCTCAGTCATTTAAGTGTCCGACTGGCTCAGGTCATGATCTCACAGTTCATGAGTTCGAGCCCCGCATTGGGCTCTTTGCTGACAGCTTAGAGTCTGGAGCCTGCTTCAGATTTTGTGTCTCCCTCTCTCTAAGTCCCTCCCATACTCATATTCTGTCTCTCTCGAAAAAAAAAATAAAAAAAAATAATAAACTATCTTATAGAGAGGCCATTGTGGGCATTAATTGAATATATGATGACTGAGATACAATTTGGCTTTGATATTTGTTCCTGCCCTCATAAATGTACTTCCTCATGGATGGGGTTCCACTGAGGCCAGATATCTTTGCTTGGCTTTTAGAAGAGAGAAACCACAGCAATTCATGCATGCTTGCAGAAGAAATTGATAAAGCATCATGATAACACACATGGCCTTAATGGGAGCCTCTGCCCCTTTGCTCTGAATCCCTTTGCTCTGATAACCAGTCCTTCACTTATGGTTCCTCTCTGATAGGAAGGGATTAATTAGAACCTAAGGAAACTGAAGAAGATGGTTTTTAAATTCCAAGTACATGGTGGAGATTCCTTTAAAAATCTCTGAACATCTGACTTGGTCCCTGGGAGGTGCTGCCAACCTTATTGAATGTTGTTAGAGCAATATTACCAGGAAACTGCCTTTCTTTTTTTTTAAACTTGTTTTATTTTTTATTTTTTTAAATTTACATCCAAATTAGTTAGCATATAGTGCAACAATGATTTCAGGAGTAGATTCCTTAGTGCCCCTTACCCATTTACCCCATCCTCCCTCCCACAACTCCTCTCGTAATCCTCAGTTTGTTCTCCATAGTTATGAGTCTTTTCTGTTTTGTCCCCCTCCCTGTTTTTATATTATTTTTGTTTCCCTTCCCTTATGTTCATCTGTTTTGTCTCTTAAAGTCCTCTTATGAGTGAAGTCGTATGGTTTTTGTCTTTCTCTGACTGACTAATTTCACTTAGCATAATACCCTCCAGTTCCATCCACGACATTGCAAATGGCAAGATTTCATTCTTTTTGATTGCCGAGTAATACTCCATTGTATATATATACCAGGAAACTGCCTTGTATTTTTTTTTTAATTTTTTTTTCAACGTTTTTTATTTATTTTTGGGACAGAGAGAGACAGAGCATGAACGGGGGAGGGGCAGAGAGAGAGGGAGACACAGAATCGGAAACAGGCTCCAGGCTCCGAGCCATCAGCCCAGAGCCTGACGCGGGGCTTGAACTCACGGACCGCGAGATCGTGACCTGGCTGAAGTCGGACGCTTAACCGACTGCGCCACCCAGGCGCCCCAGGAAACTGCCTTTTAAAAACCAGGACTCCTCTTCATCCCTACAACTCTGGCCAGCAGATTGCCTATGGCTCCATTTCAGTGGTATCCAGTAGAAAGAACATAACTGATGTTTTTGTCTTTCCTAAGACTCTTTATAAGCCTCTTGGAGCCACCTGCTTGAATGTGTTCTCTCAATTAAAAATGCATTTCATTTAGGCTAAGACATTCAAAGAAGGGATTCAGGAGACCGTAATTAGTGACACACAGATTAATTACATGCTTCAGTTTCTTGTAACTGCCTTTGAAACATACAAAAAAAAATTCCATGTGGCAAAGAATATTTAAATAAGAAGATCCAGTGAAACAAAAGAAAGTCCACATAAACACTATAACCTTAAGAAGGATGTTCATTGAGGAAAGATGGCATTGAAAAAATGTTAGGTATGTAAATTCATACATTTTCAATTTCACTTAGTCTCAGCATTTTCATCTACCAGTAGCCCAAGAAAATGTTCATAGACTGGATTTAGGATTCATAAAAACATTACATGGTCTTGATAGAGTGGGGCTTTTTTTGGTAGGTGGAGGCGGTTTGTTTGTTTTTTAGCTCAGCAAAGCACAGGTCAACTTTCTGCAAAGAAAGAAAATAGAAAATGTTGGTGATCTTAGGAACCATATGTTGGTGATATATTACAACAAAAGTGAATTTCAGAGCATTTCTTGCTTTTTCAATTAATTGTTCTTTGTTTTTTTCATGGCAGGGAAGAGCTTTAATCAAAACTTTTATTATGAAACTGATCAGAAGCCTAGAGAAGATGGAGATCACTTGTTACCCATGTCATATAATTAACCTGGATTTTGACCTCTGTTGGAAGAAGAGTGAAAAAATTAAAAATTAAAAAATTAAATTTGGGGACAAAATTTTTTCTAGCTTAAAATTTCAGAATGTAGTAAGAGATGTGACCATTTTTATACCTACAAAGACCAAAAGCTGTATTTAAAGAAACTCAAAGCTGTATGAGTTCTGGGAAGTATTCTACAAGAAAAACTTGGGCCTAGGAGTTGGGACTGAATTCATTATCTGTTCTGAATCTTGAAAGTGTGTCTTAACTGTGGCTCAGGTTTTCCTGGAAGAAGATAACAGGAGACCATTACAGGAGAAGGCAGGCTTAGTAACAATATTTTGTAGCATGTTTGTTATTGTTAGGTGGAAGGAGAAGCCTTTGAAGTAGTTTTAATATAGTTTATAGTCAGACATTCATCTACATAAAAAATATTAAGTTTTTTTGGCAATTACACTATTGAAGAAAAAGTAACCTTTTTGCTATAGTATAGAGTTAGGCTTGTACTTCAGTTTCCACCAGAATTTTGAATTTCCTGAGCATATGAATCAAGACCACATTATTGTTAAGTATGTCAATATCCTATTTTGTTTAGTTGTCAAGGGCATTACATATGTATAATTTTAAAAAAATGTTTATTTATTTATTTTGAGAAAGAGCATGAGCTGGGGAGGGGCAGAAAGGGGTGGGGGGAGAGAATCCCAAGCAGGCTCCACACTGTCAGTGCAGAGCCCAGTGCAGGGCTCAATCTCATGAACAGTGAGTTCATGACCCGAGCCGAAATCAAGTCAGATGCTTAACCAACTGAGCCACCCAAGCGCCCCTCATATGTATAATGTTTAAAGGGTTCCCATTAGGCTACAGATTAATTATGTGGACAGGGAGGGAGTGAATGGGCATTGGGTCAAGGCCACAGCACTGAGAATGTATTTGGCCAATCGATGGGTGGGCTGAGTCAAACTAATGGGCACCCTGACTCTTCTTTGGCTATCTCATGTTGTCCTAGGCAAGTTCTGGATCTTCTGTAGTTCCTGGTGTATTAATTTGGAAAGCAGCACTTAACTACCTCACATAGTATAGGTTAGTATAGGTGAGCTTCTTTGCATTGCTTTTCCTTTGTAGTAATAACTCGTGTCTAAATTAATTCCTGCTTACATGAAATGTGACAGGACTTTTATTGCAGTTAAAATTGTTTTTAAGTATATAGGTAGGAAATGTCCACATCTTATATAAATTTTAACTGAAAATGGAAGTTTTCCTCTTTCTCTCTAGTATGTTTTTGAATGGGTAGCTTTGGAGGGGGCAAGGAGAGGGCCAAATAATCTTCACTATTAATATTAAATTGCATATACAAAGAGCTTATTATTGATAAAGCTATTTCATGTTAGATGTCTTCATATTTGCCAAAAACAAACTTGACATTTCGATTTCTTTCTGACCAGATATAACTAACCAGGATAGATTGACTATACGATAAGATACTTGGTTCACTTATTTTTTTTCTTAACTTTATGATTGCCAATTGCACTCATTATGGGGCCACCCAAAACTAAAGCTCTGAGTGCATGCCCCAGTAAAGCCATTGAAAGCCTAGAAGATATCCAGGTAATTTACAAAGTATGTATGGTATGTGTTTGTATGAAGGTGGTTCCCTTATCTCAGCATTGTTTTTCATTCCCTACTCACTTAATGGATTTTCTACAAGTTCAGTATAGGTCCAAGTCACTGCTGGGACATTTCGTACTGGGCTCATTTGAAAGGTAATTGATAATGATCTTTAAAGCATTATAAATGGTAATAACATTTGCCATCACTAAATGCTTAATTTTATTTTTAAAAGGTTTCTGTTTAACTGTTTATGTTTTAAATTTGTTTTCCTAAACTTATATATGTTAAATGAAAAGATTTGTTTTTATCCCACATTAACCCTAGAATGTAATCATTTGAATGTCTGCTTGCTGTCAGAGTCTACATGGGCTTAAAAGGAGTCAGGGGAGAGGTCACCATGTGGATCAGTTAGGAGAAGCACAAATTAAAAAAGCTAAAGAAGGATTGTTGTTTTTCGGAAGCCAAGCAGTGACGTGGGAATTTGAGAATTCTGACACATCTCTGTCTCTGATTCCCTTTTATATGACCTTTTCAGTCAAGAGCAAATCATTTAACTCTACATGAATGTCTGTTTCAAACCTATTAAATGGAAGAATAAGGGAACTCCCACAGTCTCAGGGAGAAACTTGGAGGCCTCAGTGCAGGAATGAGACTTATGCCCTACTTTTGCTATAGCTGAACT